GGGGGGGGGGGAGGGGGGAGGGAGCTTCCCCCAGCAGGCAGCAAATGGTCGCAGCACAACAAAGAGGCCTGCAGCGCATCCTCGCATTCCAGAAGGCAGCGGGGGAGAATGAAATTGGCAAGGGGAGGGGGAACAGCGACAGGTGGCAGGTGAAATCGGGGCCCCGTTGGGCTGGGCGCTGGACAAACCCATAGTAGGGGATGGAGTCAAGTCCCATAGAACTCAGAATTACGAATGCTAGTGACGAGCTGGCCGGTCGCCCACACACGAGAATGTGCAGTCTGGCTAAAAGAAAGCCAGTGCACTCCGGTACTGCGTGAAACATGCATTGCTTAAAAAAAAAAGGAAAGAAAAGGAGCGAGGGGGAGTAAAAAAAAAAAAAAAGTTGCCAAGGGAAAGAACTTTTCTGTGCTTTTGTAACAGCCACGGGCGGATTTGAACCCAGGATCTCTGGAGCTTAGCATAGGAACTTCTACTAATTGAGCAAGAAGCCAGCTGGCTGTTAGCCTTGCTTGTAGAGCGCCCTTATCTCTCTCTGTACCTGGTCTAAATATCACGACATGGGACAGTGGACCACACTAGGTGTGTGGGTTACACTTGATTCATTTCAATGAAGGGGGGCTAGAAACAGCATGTTTTTCTAGTAAAGTTTCAAAGCTGGGTCAAGTCGCCAGCTTTTGAAAGAACCGGCACGCGTGGCTCCGAATGGTGCTCGTTTCAGGGTTCCACACAGCCTCCCCTTCCCAGGGATCGTACCGCTGAGGCTCTCCTGGGGGCAAGGCAAAGGATGGCTGGGGGGGAAACTGAGGCAGGGAGCAGCTCAGTGACTTGGGAGTCGGTGCCTGAGCAGGGAACTAAACCCAGGTCTTCAGGACGCCACAGCCGTGCTTTACCTACCAGGCGGTGCTGCCTTCTTCCTCCTGGCCTCTTGCTGAGCATCTGGGGGGCCTCCGGGGTGAGGGGTGTCCCAGTGTTGGGTTGGGCTCTGACGCTGGCCCGTGCTTCCCCCCAGCCTGATGAACGAGGTGGTGCACACGTCGCCCACCATCGGCAGCAACGTGGAGGAGATCATCCTGCGGAAGACCCACTTCCTGATGTGGGATATCGGGGGGCAGGAGACGCTGCGGTCCACGTGGAACACCTACTACTCCAACACAGAGGTAAGGGACCGGTGGGAGGAGCAGCGTGTCCCCGGGCGGGCTGGGCTTGCCCTGTGATGCTCCCCCAGGGCGACATGCTTGGCCGCTGGCAGATGTGCTTTCGTTACGGGGAGGAGCTGACTGACCATGTGGGCTGCCAGCTGTGTGCGCCTCTACAGATGCCCCTCACCCTCCACCCACCCGCCCTCCTGTCCCGCTGCTGGGCCCCACCCACCCACCTCTGACGATGCCCCTTATCCTCCCCCGCAGCTCCTATTCTACCTCAGCAACGCAGGGCACCCCCACCCACACCCCCTGTGCTATTCTGGGGGACCCACCGGGGCGCCTCGATCCTTGCGGCTCTAGTCCTCGTTCCCAAGTACTGTACGGATGTCCCAGTGGAGTCGATTAACCGATAAGCAAAAGCTTATCGGTTAATGCTGTGGACTACGTGTTCTCTCTCCCCTTGCCCCCCAAGTAAATTGTTTAGCAGGCTGGCCAGCAATCCTGGCTCGTGGGAGGTCCGGGACCTACCCCCGCTGCAGCTCTGCATTTAAAGAGTAGTAGGAGGGAGGCAGGCAGGCAGCCCGGCTCAGTTCTGGCTCACTCCAGGTCCGGGAGCTGAGCCCCTCCTCTGGACAGCAGCACGGGGCAGGCAGTCTGCGTGGGGAGCTGGTTTTTAAACGCTTCTGCCTAGTACCCCGAGCTGCTGCCTCTGATACAGAGGCGGCAGGGCAGAGGGGAAGGGGGCTCCTCCGGAGTGGGGCTGGAGTGCCCTGGCTGCCGGCCCCGGCCCTGGGGACTGTAGAATAGTCAAGTAACTGATAAGAATTCATGAGGTTAATCGATATTTAACATCCCTACTCCAAACGCAGTTCTACTGGTGCACCTGTATATCCAAGGAAGTATTTCTTCACTCTGTCAACCTGTGGAACTCCCTGCCACAGGATGTAGTAAAGACCAAAGCTATAAATGGGTCAAAAGAGCTAGATAAATTCGTGGAGGAGAGGTCCATCACTGGGGATTAGCCAGGATGGGTAGGAATAGTGTCCCTAGCCTCTGTCAGAAGCTGGGAATGGGTGACGGGAGGGATCGCTGGATGATCCCCTGTTCTGTTCCCTCCCTCTGGGGCACCTGGCATTGGCCACTGTCGGCAGGCAGGACACTGGGCTAGATGGACCTTTGGTCTGACCCAGTGTGGCCGTTTTATGTGGTGGTGGGCCCCCGGCAGCAGCAGTCTCTGTTCCCCGCGGTGGCACGCAGGTAGCCGCGGGATGAGTGGCCTTGCTCAGACTTCTCTGCAGGGGATCCTCTGGGGTACCTGAATCCTCTGGGGTTTGAGTTCCTAATTCCCTCTGGCTCCTCCGGCATCCACACCTTCCATGGGTGCTTCCTTGGGAGCAGAGGTGGCAGGATCCAACCCTTCCTCAGTAGCTCAGCTGCGGGATGTTGCACTGTTCCTTTAAGGAGACTGGTGCTTTGGAGACAGCGGAGATGGTTTGCTAGGGTGGGGCAGGAAGCAAGTAGAAGTTTGGGGGGCTGGATCCAGGGGAGGAGCCGCTTCTCTAAGTGGTTCCCCCCCCCCCCCCCCCGCCGG